ATGGATGATAGATGGATGGATAGATTTTGGATGTATGGATGATTGATAGATGGATGACTGATAGATGGATAAGTGGATAGATGGATTGATAGATGATAGATGGATGGATGATAGATGGATAGATGATATATGGACGGATAGATTTTGGATGGATGGATGATAGATGGATAGATGATAGATGGATGGATGGATGATAGATGGATGATAGATGGATGGATAGATTTTGGATGGATGGATGATAGATGGATAGATGATAGATGGATAAGTGGATAGATGGACAGATAGATGATGGATAGATGGATAAAAATATATATAAATAGTTATAAATAGATTCAGATTTTGTCATTCGCACCACATGTGGTGGAACGAAATTATGTACACAGGGTCCCAGTTACACTTCTCAGTTACAAAGTACATAGATATAGCAAGATGGATATGAATATTTGTTGTCCATTGTTGTCATCGCTCTGTTAAAATCAGGTCTCTTGTAAACGAGTCCACGAGGCTCAATGGGATTAACCTGTATAAATAAAGATTGAATGAAGATGGATGGATGGATGCTTTATTAATCCCAGGGGAGAAATTTGAAGCATCCAGTGACGCTCTATTAATATCTTGTCAAAAGAAACCAAACTACAGATTTAGTTTGTGGTTAAAGACAAAAACAAAAGTCTTTGATGGTCTTGTTTTTTGTTTTCCTTGACTGTGTAGTGTTAAAAAAAATACTTGAGGTAAACACAAAAACTCCCAGGCGTGGGCCACCACATCACACTGATTGTGCCTGCCATGTGTCCACTTCATCAGTGTAGTTTTAATCAACTTTGGAGTTGTGCATTTCCACGCTGTTTCACAATAGCAGCACTGATAGGCACGCTAAAGTGGGGGAGTTCAAGAGTCCTGCTAATTGAGGTCTATGTCTATTTAAATCCCCTGCTTTTCCCAGCAGGATAAAGGCAGGAAAATAAGATGAGCAACACAAAGGCACAGCACCCATCTGTCCTTCAGCATCTCCTCTAGGCTGCCAAACATCACGGCCATGGGAGGCCTGCTCTCTCTACCTCTCCAACCACCAATTATCATACTCCCAACAGATCCATGCATTTTCCTAACGCTCTATTTTTCAAACTTTCTCCCGTTTCTCTCATCCCGTCATCCATTTCACCTGCTCTCCCATTGTTTGCTCTTCTCGCCTGTCCCGATTTTCACATTTATTGCATCTTGTTTGTCTTGCCCGTCTTTTTTTCATTTTTTTCTCTCTTCTCGACTCTCATTTCATGATTCCATCTCTCCTCATCCGTGTCCAGGTTCCAGTGTCAGTGGCCATGATGAGTCCCCAGGTGATCACGCCACAGCAGATGCAGCAGATCCTCCAGCAGCAGGTGCTCTCCCCCCAGCAGCTCCAGGCCCTGCTCCAGCAGCAGCAGGCTGTGATGCTGCAGCAGGTATGCGCACTCGCAAACAAAAACAAACACGTTGACACAAACACCCCATAGTGCTTGCAGGAGCACGCACACCTTGATGCGAGCTGTGCCTTGTTAGCAGCAGGTCGCTGTGCTGTAGATGCACGCAAAGGCTCAGGAATGTAGATGCACAAACGCTGCTTAGAGTATTTTTATTCATCTACATTTACAGACAGAGCTGGAGAAATCTGCGCAGCACAAACTTAGATCTAAAGTTTTGTTTGCTCGCCCATGTACACAGTTCACGTTCATCTCCGCAGAGCCTGAGTCACTCCTTGGCCACCAGCCGTTCGTGCCAACTCACCACAATGTCCTTGACATGCTTACCAAATTGACATGCTTGTTCGTGTCACCTCCAATTAACTGTCTCTGGTGTGTCGTTGGTTCAATTCCCTGACAAGCATTCATCAGGGACTGAGGGAACTGGACGCACAAGCAGCAGAATGATGGCTGATGGATGATGTAATATTTGGAATCAACTGGAGATGGGCGCACACTTGGCACCGGCTCGTGTCAGAGTAAAAATGCTTTTCTCATTCAGAGATTTGATTAAGGGAAAGAGAAAAGTTTAATTAAAAGTGTCAGTCAATCTGATTATCCCTCTTCATTACTACGCCTCCACTCAAGATTTGGTCTCAGTGCATTTGCAGGCCATTGCACAGCATTTTTACTGCAACTGAATGAGCTTTTCATACATTTATTTTGCATTACCCTTTTTAAAATTCGTTTTTAGGGCAGCACTATGTGGTTATCTTGGTCGGGCGTAATGCAACAATGTTTACATTAAGCCATAAACAATCATTCTGCAGATTTTTCTTATTGCTCCATGCAGTCTATATATGACTACAGCAAAACATTCAATTATCAATCGTTGATTCATAAGGCATTCAATTAACATAGTTTAACTTTTGTAAAATGATTGGCTCTCAACGCCTTTAACGTATCCGGCTTGAAGGACCAAACATGTTGGATAAATTGATTATCCTATCATCAATTCATTAATCAAATGAGCCACACAGAGAGGATCAAAGAAATTTTTTCAACCCAGTTTTACTTGCAAGGTGGTAGCATTGAAAACAGGCTTACAAAGTTGTTATACGAAGCTCTGGTCACAAGGTCTGCCCGCAGACAACATAGAGAAGCATCTACTTATAATGCTCATCAGAAAAGACGAGGTCAAGTTTATCAAGTGTGCAGGCTCCATGCTCCTGAAAGCTCCACTTTAAGACATAACAATTCTAATTCACACACATGGTTCTACATTAATTTAACACTAGTAAGTGATAACATCCATGATCTTTACATAACTTCCCTATCAGTCTCCTTTACTTATTATTACTTATTACCAGTCTGTGTCTGGCTGCCAGATCTAAGGTTTATATCACGGAATGTTGTTTCTGTTTTATCGTGGATCTGGTATAGGTACCGTAGTTTCCAGTGTATAAGCCACTACTTTTTTCACACGCTTTGGACACTGTGGCTAATTAGTTTTTTTAAATAATATTTATGGTATGTTTTTTATATTTTCTTTAAGGGCTAACGAGTTTACTGCTGCCAAAAAATATTTCCTGGTAGCTTCATCACACCTTCCTCACAATTTATTTATTTATTTGTATTTTATTTTGACAGGCTAACAAGCTTGAACATTGAATAACAAGGTCGTCTTTGGCAGTGTTAGTAAAATATGTCATGAACCACTGGTTGTATTGCATCTACAACTCGTTACCTTTTGTATTCAACCTGATTCACGATGGCTGCCACTAGCTAATTCATAAAAGTAGCTACAACTTTACAAATTTTGATCTAAATCCTGCGGTAGTAGCTGAGACTCATTTCCAACACAAAGTCCAAATATGCCATTCTTCAGGAAATACTAGCGTTTATTTTGGTAATTAAGAGATTAGGACAAGCTTGTATTGAGTTTTTGTGTCTGTTTGTGTCTGCAGCAGCACCTGCAGGAGTTTTACAAGAAACAGCAGGAGCAGCTTCATCTGCAGCTTCTCCAGCAGCAGCATCCTGGCAAACAAGCTAAAGAGGTAGATGCAACGCAACATGTGACTGAACAACAAAATCAGTGCCAAACCACATGGTTTAGTTCTTAAAGATTCATATACAGTACTTATATGTGTGTGGGTATTTTTGCTACTTTCAATAAAGTCTGATGTCATGATTAACAGTTTTAAGTAGCTTTTGAACATAGCCTGGACAAACTCGTGGAATATAGACGAAGAATAACCAGAAACAAAGCTAGATAATAAACTGCTTCTGTGAGAGCACAAACACACACCGCCACCGAAGTTGCCATGTACGCCACTCATAAATCACAGTGACAGGCAGCTGGTCAACAGACGCAGCTCTACCTCGCTCCTCTCCGCTATCGGAGGAGAGATGAGCATGACAGCCTTAAGCATATTTGCGTAACTGTGTTGATGCCGAACCTTGAGTCTGTCTGGGGGCCACATTCAGACAGCACTGGAAGCATCTAAATTGATAAAAATAAAAAGTCATATAAACGCACACAGTCTTTTTTATTGTATTTTTTCTCTGGGAAGCGCCTCTCAGTGTCTCCTCAATCAGCCCATTATGCTGCCCCTTACAGGAAGTCGCAACTGACCTCCCGGCGGCTTTGTTTCTGTTTGGATTTGTGAATAGAGTTTTTCTGGGGCCTCGCCATCAAATATGGAATAGAAATTGCTCCTTTATTTCTCTTGAGGCAGGTTGGAGAGTACTGGGGAGGGGTGGGGGCTTGGCAAACCGTCCCTTCACAAGTCTATTATGCAGCCTGTTTTCCAGTGAGTGCATCACAAGTTTTACCCCCCCCCCCCCTCGCTTTCTGTCCTCAGTCCCTTCAATTTCCAGACTCTTTTTTTTTTTTTTTTTTCAGGTGCACTTTAATATAGGCAGAAACAGAAGTGTATCACACTGCTTGTACACATTGTTCTTAAAAAGTAAAAAAAAAATATATATATATATGTGACAGTCTAAATGACAAATGTGGATCGTTTAAAAATAAAGAAACATTCTAATGTATGTAACACTGTGCACTTAAAAATAACAAATAACAGTGTGAATGTTTATGAAACATTCACACTGTTGTGATCCATTTATCTTCCGTACATTTTTCAGCACGATTCCCGTTCCACAGTTTTTAAGCTATTTCAATAAATCATATATCAGAACATTCAGCTTATTCAGGAGAAAGGTGTTCTTGACTTTTGGTATTGGTGCACCTTTAGCGTTTTGAAATATTTAGCCGTTTCTGTCATTTCTGCCCTCATAGAAAATGAATTGAGCTCATTTTCCATCCTTCAAATCTTTAGATCTGTTTACAACCTTTTACTGCTCCTTTCACATTTTGTTCTAGTTCAGCTTCTTTCAGCTTCCTTATGCAGATTTAAAATAACAATTCAGCTATTGTCAGCTAATTTCAGCTGTTTTTCAGCTGTTTGAGCTTTTCAGATTCTTTCTGCTAACTACAACAATTTTGTGCTTCTTCTAACTTCTTTCTGCTAATTTCAGCTTATTTCTGCAAGTTTCAAAATTTTCTACTATTTCAGCTACTATATAGTTGTTTTATACTAATTTAAGCTTTTTCAGCTAATTCCACAATTTTTGCACTCATTCAACTTTTTCAGTCTAATTCAGCAAAAATGTGCTCTCCCCTTTCTTCTTGTAATTTAAGCTTCTTTCTACCTTTTTAGCTACTTTTCAGCTGGGTTTTTTTGTTGCTAATTTCAGCTTTTATCAGATAATTTCCCATTTTTGTGCTAATTTCTGCTTCTTTCAGCCTAATTGGGCAAACATGTTCTTTCTGCTTTCTTCTTTTAATTTAAGCTTGTTCTAACTTTTTAGCATTTTTAGCCAATTTCGTCTGTTTTTTCAAATAAATTAAAAGTTTTTCATAGTAATTTCTGCTAATTTCAGCCTAATTAACATCCTTAAACTAATTTCAGCTTATGTGCCTTTCAGTTTAATTATGCTAATTTTAGCTATTTCTGCTAGTTCATCTATTATTTAACTGTTTTCATGCTAACTTAGCATTGTCAGCTAATTCCACATTTTTTAGCTCATTTCAGCTCTTGCAGCTTCCTTCTGGTAGTTTAAGCTTCTTTCTGCCTTTCAGATAATTTTCAGTCATTTTTTAGCTAATTTCCTAATTTGTGTGCTTCTTTCTGCTCATTTAAACCCATTTCAGCAAATATGTGTTCTTTCTGATTTCTTCTGCTAATTTAGGCTTGTTCTTATATTTCAGCACATTTTCAAGTTTATTTCAGCTTTTTCTCAGCAAGTTCTTCTGCAATAAGCATTCACACTGTGTTTTTGCAGGAAATGCAATTTCTCTAGTTGACATTTAATTTAGTAAAGCAGTTTAGATCTGGGAATACTTACTAAAATTGCCTCCTTTTTGACTTTTTATTTACTTTGTTCTTTTTTGGGGTAAAGAAGTCTTAACATTTTTTTATTTAGTGTCATTTGTGTTGTTTTTCGCGAGGCTTATGCAACTGCCTGTGTGGTTCAGGGATAAACAACTCCGTGAGGCAGCGAGCAGAGAAAAAAGGAGCTGAGTGGCACAGTGCACGTATGTTTACAACCAATGTGCATGGGAAGCTGTAAATCTCCCATTCTGGAAGTTCCCTCTGGTCAAATAAGCTGTAACAGACCATCAGTGAAGGCGAGACAATTAGCCATGCAGGGTGGGGGGAGAAGTGGGGTTATGACAGAGGCTTAGTGTTGCACACAATCACAAACCACAGACACTGTCAGGCTGGAGAGCTGCTCTGTCACTGTTAGTTATTTTCTGTGTGTGTGTGCTCTTACACGAGGAGATAGGAAAGCAGCATCATTGTGGTACAGCCCAAAAAACAAGAGGGGAGATTTAGTGGGAGCAGACAGAGATAAAAAACCTGAATAAAGACAAAAGAAGAAGAGAGGTATAGCTAAGGTCACGGCAGAGACGAGTGAGCATGGGCACACACCGCAGATGGCACTCCATCTTCTCTCAGCTGTTAACTCTGTAGTTTTCACTCCCACCCCTTTCCTCTGTACTCCCCTCTTGCTCCTCTCCTCCTCCTCCTCCTTTCTATAGCAACAACAGCAGCAGCAGCAGCTGGCTGCCCAGCAGCTCGTCTTCCAGCAGCAGCTCCTGCAGATGCAGCAGCTCCAGCAGCAGCAGCACCTGCTCAACATGCAGCGGCAGGGCCTGCTCTCGCTGCCAGGGCCCGCTCCGGGCCAAGCTGCCCTGCCCGGACAGACCCTGCCCCCACAAGGTGAGCAGAAGATGGGAACGGAGGGTAGTTGCTGGAGCAAGAATGTATTTGGAGCATGTGACTTGTTGTGATTTGTCTGCAGGTGTGTGTCTATTTTTCTCTGGCCTGTTTTAGTTTTCCCATTGGTATGCACGTGTGTTATCTTTAAGTGTATCTGTCTGCCTTCCCCTCATCTGTATGCTCCTCTATCATCCAATTTGTCCTTAACTCTCCCCATGAATGTTTTCTTTAGTCTTTTACTCTCTTTCTACTCGTCTGATTATAGCTTTCTTTGTCTACCTCTGTTTCTTTCTCATCTCTGCCTCTCTTTATGTTGTTTTATTATCTGTGTTCTCTATTCCCCTGCTCCCCAGCCCTCCCCGTCTCTTTCAGTGGTGGTTGTTGTTGTTTACTGCCTTTTACCGAGAAGTATATGAGATGAATAAAAGGACAAACAGAGAGGGAGAGGGGAGAACAGGCTCCATTTTCTCCTGCTGAGTCGAGTAAACACTCACGTTTGTTGTTTACGACCAAGATGGCGGAGACAGAAAACAACAGGCATTTTCCATCTTTGATGGAAAACGCAGCAGTGGGTTGTGTAATTACTTTTCGAGCTAAAAAGAAAAAAAGTTGTATTTATCTCATATGGAACAGACAAATGCTCACAGTAATGGTTTTAAATCAAAAAGTGAGCTGCACAAGTGAACCGTTATCAAGTTAAAGTTGTTGATGAGCACTAAGAAAGTTAAGGAAGCAGAGGGAAGCCTCTTATTGAGAGTAAGGGCTTTTAAGAAGTTGTTTCAAACTTTTATAGCTGTTAAATAAAGTTTACAAAGTTGAGACTTTTGTTTCATTAAGGCCACTTCTCAAAGTGGGAGAAATTACCAATAAAAGGAGTGATTTGGGGCATCAATCCGGCTATAAAAGATTTGAACGATAAGCAGGGCAGTCATTTTATTTTGTTAGCTCCTTTCTATCTTATCAAGACACTCAAAGTGCTTTACCCTACAATCTGTGCCCTCATTTACCCGTTCATACAGCACTCTACTAGATCTCTACAAAGCTAATCTGAATCTGTAGAGACAAATCAGGGCTTTAAATTACATTCATGCACCAATGGGACACGCATTGGAGGCAATGCAGAGTTCAGTGTCTTGCCCAGGGACACTTCAGCATGTGGCTGCTGGTGGAATCGAACCTCCAACTCTCCCACTGAAAGACGACACTCTAACCACTCAGCCACAGCCATCCCGATTTGTGTATAAACCTTTAATAATTTCAAAATGGAGGGGTTGTTTCCCCCAAAAGGAGGCAGAATCATTGAACAGAGGCTAAGTATGCAGATGTCGCTTCACTATCATGTTAAACATCATCTTATTTGACCAATACTTAATTTACCAACAGATTTACTGTTTACTTATATATATTATGGCCCTCACTGATCAGATTAATGGCAACCACCCAGCTGTGCCTCCATGTGCTTAATCCTTAACCAATTGTCATTCCTCATGCTCAGAGGTCTGCAACCTTTGCAATAAAAATGGCTGTTTTTGCCACTTTGCTTATTAATTACAATGTCTGGAGTCACAAAACCTGCTACAACTGTGTACTGTCAACTGGTGGCCCGTGGACCACAAGTTTGTTGGAGATGGCTTTCCTGGCCAGTGGGGGTGATATTATAAAACGAAAAATGTCTAATTATTATTAACATTTATTGATATTTTTACATTGTAATGCAATAGAAAAGACCAGATTCATGTAAAGAAAAAAAAAAGTAATTTTTAATTTTATAAAACTGAAAACACTGAACTCTGCAGGCCGATGTGAGTTCTCTTAATTGTTGAAGAATTAAGTTTCCTACTTCAAGCGTAAAGTTAAAGACAGTATAAAATTAGGCCATTTGTTGGATATCCAATTATATTTTTAAATTAAAACAAGAGAAATTGCATTTCCTGTGAAAATGCAGCTGAAATTAGCTAAAAACATGCTGAAATGTAGCTAAAATGGAAGAACAAGCCTATATTAGCAGAAGAGAGGCGAAAGAACACATATTTTCTGAATTGGGTTTAATTGAGCAGAAATGAGCACAAATTAGAAAATTAGCTAAAACAAAGCTGAAATTAGCAAAATGTAGCTGAAAAGGCAAAAAGAAACTTAAACTATCAGAAGGACGCGGAAAGATCTGAAATGAGCTAAAAATGTGGAATTGGCTGAAAAAGGCTAAAATCATCATAGAACAGCTAAATAGTAGCTGAAACTTTCAGAATTAAGCTGAAAGGAGCATGACAAGCTGAAATTAGCAGAAATAAGTTAGAATCACAATAAAATGTCAGCAGAAAGAAGCTGAAAGGAGCACAAAACAGCTGAAAGTTTCTGGGAAAAAAGTGCCAATTTGCACAAGGAAGCTGAAAGAAGCTGAATACTTTATTTACATTGACTTAGTTTTTTTGTCTTTTATTCTTAGTGTCATATATTCCTTCTCAGCAGCTTGTCTTAAAGATATTCCAAAACATTCTGGTGGTTTTGAGAGAAAGATCACGCTGTGAGACTGGAAGTTGACTTAAAGGTTCTTACACGTTTTACGCCTTGTATTTGTACCATTCTGCACAAACTTGAAAATGACAGGAAATCTGCTAAAACTAGCCTCTTCACTGTTGGCAATAATTTAAATAAAATTCAGTTTTATTTTAGTTTTGGTCAAAGTCTGAAAGAGCCGCTGCAGAGGTACCAGAGAGCCACATGTGGCTCTAGAGCCGCAGGTTGCAGACCCCTGCGTGAGTCACCTGATCCTTTTAAACTTGACTCAATCAGAGCATGTGTAGTTATTACTTCCTGTTTTCAACCGCTGTCTTGTGTTTCAGTTAATCAACTAGCAGGCTTATAAGAAGTTGTGATGCGTGAGAAAAGTGGCATTACACTTAGGATGAAAGTTTTAAGTTCCAGTACTGACGTCAACGCTCTTAATGTTTTGACATTAGTCGAGTGGTTTTATGAATCCAAAGTGAAGAGATCTTTGTCTCTAGGTGGTTTGAGCCCAGCAGAGCTCCAACAGCTGTGGAAAGATGTGACCGGAGGAGGCGGCGGCCACGCCATCGAGGACAACGGCATCAAACACAGCAGCAGTGGCAACGGCACCTGCGTAGGCGGCGGCGGTTTGGACCTCTCCACCAACAATTCCTCTTCAACTACCTCCTCCTCCAATTCCGCCAAAGCATCGCCGCCCATCACTCACCACTCCATCACCAACGGACAGTCGCCTGCCCTCAACCACAGAAGAGAGCGTGAAAGGGAAAGGGAGCGAGAAAGGTACTTCTGCTGGTGCGACTCAGAGAAGATGGCAGATTTGCATGCTTTTTGTTTCACGTTTTTTTCAGAACTCCTGGGAAAACAACATGTTTTGTTTATTTATTCAATAGTTTGTTAGTGTCTCGGAAATATTAAAGCAAAAAAACAAAAGCCTTGTTCTCCCAGGGGACCACACGTGCCACTGCACACACTTATCTTGCGCACACGTATCAAAAGCAGGGAGTGGAAGCCAAACAGGCAGACACACTTAGAACAAACCTCTCTGGCAGACGAGACAAGGTAACCCCCTTGTACATTAAGTATTTAGTGATTTCTCTCTTCTTTTCTCTTTTGAAAATTACCTTCCTTGCTTGCGTGTCATGTAAACAGAATACGTGATGCCTTGAGTGGCGTTTCCGGGATGTTTATCCTTGTGATGGCGTCCTTTGTAAATGCACCCAGCAACCGAAACATTGACTGTTCACATATCTGCCTATCTGGGCCATGCATTATTCAAAGGCTTTTCTTGGGCGATATTATAATAAGGACTTGAGATGGAGATGTGCACATCTGCATGGATGTTTGGCGGAGACTCGCACTGGAGGTGGAAGTGCTGTGTAATTGGTTTAAAGTAGATGCTATCTCACCGGCACCAATAAAAAGGAAGTTTGGATATCTTTAGAAGAGAGATGGAGTGAATGAGAGTGTGAGGAAGAAAAGAAAACAAGACTCTTTTCTTTTTTTTTTTTGTATCTGCTCATGCCCTGAGGGAGAGTGTGGCGTCTCGTAATGATCGAACAAGGAGTATTGTCAGGAGCTGCTTACCAATACGTGGATCGATGCGGGGGAAGCCCCTCTGTAAAACCCAGCGTGAGCTCTGCCAGCACATGTCATCCTGGACCACACACATGCATGCGCAGCCATAACCTATAAGCAGACACACACACATGCTCTCATTCACATTTTCACACACGGTCAAACACACACACACAAACCAGTGCCAAGCCTAAAGGTTAAACTGTCATCTTTAATAGGATGTGCTGTCTAGGCAGGGTCGTAACTTATTTGGGTGCCATTTGAAAAACGCCAGAACCCCCGCTCCGCTCCTCGCTTGTCCTCAAAGAACATAAGTTACACAGTGTATTAATCTCCTGATGAAAATTATATGGCTGTCTGGAGTTTTAATGTTTACTTGAAAGCCTGCACCCCCTCCTCCTCATAATGGCTTTACAAGATGGGATGGTGGCTGTGGTGGAGACAAAGCCCCGACTCATTCTAGATTTACACGGGGGACGTTAGCGAAGCCTATTTTCTTAACACACACTGGTCCACAGTCCATGAGTCGGTGTAGTTTGAAAGTTGGCTGAACGGACATTTTGACACGTTATTTGCTGATGTTGTGAATGTTTATGAAGCGTTCACACTATTGTGATCCATTTGTCTTCCATACGGTTTTCGGTGCGATTCTCGTTCCGCAGTTTTCAAACTATTTCAACAAATCATAGATCAAAACGTTCAGCTCGTGCAGGAGAACGGTGCTATGACTTTTGGCACTTGTGCAACTTCAGCTTTTTGAAATATTTAGCTATTTCATTTTTCATAGAAAATGAAATGAGCTCATCGTACATCCTTCAAATCTTTAGATCTGTTTACAAACTTTTACTGCTTATTTTACATTTTGTTCTGGTTCAACTTCTTTCAGCTTCATTCTGCAAATTAAAAAAAAATTTCAGCTAATTTCAGCAGTTTTGTGCTCCTTGCAGATTCTTTCTGCTAACTACAACATTTTTGTACTTCTTCTAACTTCTTTCTACTAATGCTCCTTTCAGCTTATTTCTGCTAGTTTCAGCTTTTTCTGTTATTTAAGCTACTATTTAGCTGTTTTAAGCTCATTTTAGTTTTTTCAGCTAATTCTGTTTTTTGCACTCATTTCAACTTTTTTCAACCTAATTCAGCAAAAATTTGCTCTTTCCACTTCCAACTTGTAATTTCAGCTTCATTTTGCTTTTTAGCTCCTTTTCAGCTGTTTTTTTTTTTTCTCGCTACTTTAAGCTGTTTTCAGATAATTTCCACTTTTTTGTGCTCACATCTGCTTCATTCAGGCTAATTGGGGAAACATGTTTGGCTGATTTAAGGTTGTTCAACTGTTTCAGCTACTTTTTTTTAGCATTTTTAGCTAATTTCAGCTGTTTTCAGATAATTACAAGTTTTTCATGGTAATTTCTGCTACTTTCAGCCTATTTAACCTCTTTCAGCTAATTTCAGCTTATGCGCCTTTCAGCATATTTCTGCAATTTCCTGCTTTTTCTGCCTTTTCAGCTGTTTTGTGATAATTTTTAGCATTTTCAACTAATTACACATTTTTGAGCTCATTTCATCTCTTTCCACTTCCTTCTGGTAGTTTAAGCTTCTTTCTGCCATTTCAGCTATTTTCAGTTAATTTCCTAATTTTTGTGCTAATTTCTGTTTATTTAAATCTAATTCAGCAAATATGTGTCTTTTCTGCTTTCTTCTTCTAATTTAGGCTTGTTCTTCCATTTCAGCTACATTTTAGCATGCTCTTTTTTTGTTGTTGCTAATTTCAGCTGTTTTTCAGCAAGTTCTTCTGCAATAAGCATTCACACTGCATTTTCACAGGAAATGCAGTTACTCTAGTTTTGTGTATTATGGCTCTTGAATATCTGAATGCTCACTTCTGATCCGATCTTTTTTCACTTGATGCAACTTTGTTCTGTTTTGGGTTTGTTAATTTTCTTTCTCTCTCCTTTATTTCTTCTTGTAGTTCACTACATGAAGAAGTCGGAGGAACCCACCCCCTGTATGGTCATGGTGTGTGCAAGTGGCCCGGCTGTGAGACCATGTGTGAGGACTTCGGACAGTTTTTGAAGTAAGAACAGAGCAATAATGCACTGAACATCTCCGCATCCTGTCCTTGAAGTCTTTGTGTTCATGTAGTTATTGCCCCCTGATGAGGCCAAAGGCTGTAATGGTTTTGCATGTGTTCCTGTGATTTTGTGTTTGTTTGCCACTTATCAAAAAATCTCATAAACCAGTGGACAGATTTTAATGAATTTCTCAGAAAATAATCATCGGATAAAACTGTATAACTGTTTGTTTACCCAGTCCAATCAAAGATGGCTGCTACACTCACTTGACCTTTAAAAAAAACACCAAAATATCTCAGTTTGACTGATATTGATCTATAGTTTGGTGTGTTATTAGCTGAGGCAGATCAACTCATTCTGTGTGCTAACAGTTAGCTTCAGCTTCGTCCCCACTCACTCTCAGTCCAAAACTCTGGCATTAAGGAAGCAGGTTGATATGTATTTCTTTCAAGGAGTGCTACTTTGTCACTTCTTCAGCCTGCTGCCTCACAGAGAAAACATCTCTGCCTTTCTCGGGGCACATTTTGACCTCCAGACAGCTAGTTGACAGGGTTCTGCTCCTGCAAAACGCACCTCAAACCGACTCTGATCCATAACAAATTTCCTTCCCGGCGTGGAGGGGCCTGATAGGTTTGTGAAAAAGCGTCAAAAGCTAATGGCAACTCGCACGGCCGCACACTTACCTCCACAACAAAGGCCCCCATTCACTGTTGTCATGGTGCAGGCGCCAGAGCAAATGAACTCTTCATGCTCCATCAACAATTTAGTTAATTAGCTCATTTGTAATTGGCCGGCTTTGTTGCCAGGATGTTAGTGGGGGGACATCAAAGGAAGAAGGTGTTTGCAGCACCGCCGATTACAGGTTATCACATTGCCACTCACTGGGAGCCTCTCTCCCTCCCTCTTTCCCTGACTCCCTGCTCTCACACAGAGAAGAAAAGAAATGGAAAGCTTTAATTTGAATATTCTAATTAGATTTGTAATTAACTGTGAAATAACGATCTGGTGAGTGTTTTTCATGGGTTGTAAATGTCCATGTGAATTCACACAAACTCTTGAAATCAGGACGTTGTAGCTGCTTATTTTTCAAGTCAGACATTTCTCCACAGCACCGACTGCAATAAGGTGCAGAAAGCTTAGAAATGCGCTCGTACAAGAAACTAGTCCACCCATGGGGAGCGGTGTAAGATTTAGGTCAGGCTTCTGCTAATTCTACAGCAGCTTGTGAATTAAAGCTAAAAGGACTGTCTGTGGATTGAAATAGCTGTAATAAACAGTGTTTTCCGCTCTTTCAAAAGCACTGCCAGGCACTAGATTAGGCTCAATTTTCTCACGCTGTCAAGGCTTGTAACATAGTTAAAAGAACCGTCACTGACAGCAGTGGATTTAAACGAATCAGACGTAAATAGATATTACAATTACAACCTGACAATTGTGTTTGCCTATTTTTTGTGGAAGAGGTGACAACTGCGTGTCAAAGTCGATTCATCTGTGCAGGATGTGGACCGAGCATCCGTGATCCAACTAAGTTCTGCCAGGTCATCTGGACGGTTTCTTTTTTTTTTTTTTTGAGACGCTTCGGTCTTCACCCAAAGGACTTAATCAGTTCGAGGAGCCACAACAAACTGAGTTCCACAGGCAGCAAACCCACATAGTGGACCGACCAGTTTGCTGGTGAAAAGATGGTTTCTGGGGCCTGCCTTCTCCCCAAGGTGGTTCAATACATCAAAGTTCATGCTCAATAATCCAGGTAGAAAATCCATCACAGTTCAGTCAGGTCATCTGGAAGGTTTCTTTTTTTGTTGACGTTTCGTCCTTCATCCATAGGACTTAATCATTTCAAAGAGCCTCAACAAACTGAGTTCCACAGGCAGCAAAGTCACAAAGTGGACCAACCAGTTTGTTTGTGATTAGTTACTGGGGCTTGCCTTCTCCTCCGCCAACTCTTCTGAAGCAGCCATAGCCAAACAGGTTCAAAACATCAAAGTTCATGCTCAATAATCCAGATAGAAAATCCAACAAAGTTCAGTCAGGTCCTTTGGACGTTTTCTCTTTTTTCTTTTTTTGTTGTTGTTGAGATGTTTCGTCCTTTGTCCAAAGAACTTCATCAGTCCGAGCAGCCACAACAAACTGAGTCCCACAAGCAGCACGCTCACATAGTGGACCGACCAGTTTGCTGGTAGATTACAATAACCATTTTATCACCAGCAAACTGGTTGGTCCACTATGTGGGTTTGCTGTTTGTGGGACTCAGTTTGTTGTGGCTGCTCTGACTGATGAAGTCCTTTGGATGAAGGACGAAACATCTCAACAAAAAAAGGAACAGTCCAGATGACCTGACTGAACTTTGTTGGATTTTCTACCTGGATTATTGAGCGTGAACTTTGAAGCATCCATGATGATTATCTGCTGTGGTGAAACTTTAAAAGTCCTTTATATGAAACCCCGACATCATCCAACTGGGACTATTCATGTTCCAGTCCAGGTTGAGCAGTTTGCCGTGCAGCTTGGGAACAGATTTGTGTGTGATTCAGCAAAACTGCATCGGATTAGCAGTTTTTTTAAACCATGCCCGATTAACTTAGTGCACTAAGTTAGTGAAGGGATCAGTCGAATTCTTGGGAATGTATGCTCTGTTCACACACAAACACATCAAAGCCTGTGTGCTTTAAGGATACAATACCCCAGTAGGTTATCTGGTTACTTAGGTGAGGACACCACTGTATAAAATCATGGGTTTTTGTGGATCCAGTAAGATGAGAAGCTTGTGAGGGGGAAATAAAAGGAGGATGCATGGTTTTAAAGATGAACCAAAAGCAGGAGGAAGGCACAGATTTCAAAGTTGAAAACAGGTGCACAGGTTGGCAGGCAGTTTTGTAAGAACACTTTGCAGAACATCGCCTGCCACAGAACAAAACATCGTCTTCGCTGAGCCCTGCACACACACCGTAACCCAGCCAGCGCCAGAAAACAGACGCCGACAAAGAAGGCAGGCTCGTCATTAGAACAAAGATGGCTGCTCGGTGGCGTGCCTTGGAGCAGTCATTGTAGGTGTCAGAGGGAGCCCTTTCATGTTTCCGGAGATGCCAGTTGACTGCGCACACACCGATGCACATGTGCACGCACACACAGGCGCAGTTTAAACGGGGTTACATAAAGTGGGTGTCAGATTTAGATGACAGCTTAGATGTTGGTTGTTGGGTTTGTTGGAAAGGGGAGGGGAGACCCGAGTCAAGCTGCCGTCTCGTAGCTCGCTGCAGGAGCTCGGCTCAGCGGCTGTGACACGTTTAGTCATCTATTGTTTTGTTGCATGAAGAAACTTGTCAAGATCAGCATTTAATAGCTCCTCAGTGCGCTTTAAAGTGTTCTCACCTGGAAAAGGTAGCCGCGAGGTGGCTGGCACCCTGAATTAGCTCTGTGAAGTTCAAAATGAAATGATCTCGTTGCGTCTGTTGAGCGTTTCGGTTCGCGGGTGTATTTGTGTTAGTTACACAACAAAGAGATGAGAGACACAAAATGTGCATTTAGGTTGCTTTTTTTTTTTTTTTTTTTTAGAGGAGCCTTTGGTTAGAAAAATAAAACAAGAACACGCAATTAATGTTTCCAACTTATTTGCTTATGTGCATCTTTTAAAGGCGTGTGAAGACGTATTTGTCTGTGCAAATCCAATTTATGATTTATCCCCTCCAGTTTTACCCCTTTTACCTTTCCAATAACGTAGACTTTCTGAAAATCAAAACAAAGCACACACATTTTCAACTCTTCCTTTTTCTGTCGCCACTCTGCTCTCCTGATTTGTGTTAAAATGTTGAGCTCAGCTACTAACCTGAGCATTGGAGTCTGTAACCCGCCGCTAATTAAACCCAAAAGGCAGCCGCCAAACGTCTTTGTCTCTATATAATGTATACATATGGAGGCAGGCAGGTTCTGCCTCTGGATAGTTCCTCCACCCTTCCACGTGTCCGCCTCACTGTGACAAAACCTTAAAAAGAGAGGGCACCCCCCGCCAAATTGTGTGTGTGAGAAAGGATGTGTTGAAACATGCATTTAAAGTGCAAGCGTGCACGATACTGAACTGGTGTGTCATATGCAGACAGATAAGGGGCTGGAATTTCTCTGCAGGGCCTTCATCATCCCTGATAATACACACAGACAATTAGCAGAATGTATCATCCATATATGTTGGCTTGAGTAGATTTATTATTGGGCCCTTAGTGGACGCTGATGGTCTATACATATTCATGTTCGCAGCTATGGGGGTAAAAACCTTTGAGATCTTTTGTTCTCTTTCAAAGAAGAATAGAAAAATGAATGTTTATTAGTGGTTTGATTAACAACCACTCTGCCTCACATCCTCCATCACTTTCTGTTCATCACTCTTTCTTTTATTTACTGTAAATAGGGCTGCCACTATAGACTGTTTTTAATTTGATTAATCCACCAAGTCATTTAATCCACAGTTGTCAAAATGACCAACTTTCTTCCAAGTCATTTTATTTTATTTTAGTTCATTTCATTTTTATCCCAATATACTATCCCAAACTATATCCCAAACAAAAACACGCAAATAAAGTACATAAAATAGATTTAAAGTGAAAACTCCCAACACAACAAAAAAAGTACAATGAAGGTCTGATTATTTATGTACTCAGGTTCAGGTTCAGGTTTGGTTTATTTGTCATATGCAAAATCAACACAAGGTCAACAGTGCAATGAAATGTTTAGGACGAGAAGAACCGCCTCGACTCACCCCAAAAAATAAAACAACAACAACAAATACCAAAGCATGCACTAAAAATATTAAAAATACTACTAAAATACTAAAAAATACAAAGTGCCAAAGTTGAAAAAGAAACACATCTACAGTGTGGTTCAGTTAGCAGTGAGGTTCTTTCAGCAGCATGGTTCTGTTCTGTTAGCGGCGTGTTCTTGTTAACAGGTCCGGTCAGCAGCTTGATGGTAATCAGGACCGCAGCAGAAGCCCTCACAGACCGCAGTCCAG